TGCTTATTTTCCATCTATTTTTCAAATTAAAAATATATTTCCTTTTTAAATGTAAAATATCATTCCTTTTTTTCCTAGAAGGTTCCATTATTTTCACTCATCCATCTCCTTCTCAAAATTAAGCTTTTATGCATGACTCTTTTAAAAAAATATTATTATGAGAATAAAAATGCCACACAATGTGAAGTAGGTAGTAACATGTTTTAAAAAGAAACCTTATTTAACATGTATTAAATATTTAAATGAAAATAGTTTTTAACAAGTAAAATATAATTTGTTTTTTTAATACATTCAAATGTTCATTAAGAACTTTAAGCTCAAGTTCGGTCCTCTTATTAAAGTAAAGATGCACTAATTATTATTTTTAGATGCCATATACATATTTTCTTAGCAATTTCTTATTATTTTGATCAATATTTTTTACTAGAGATAATATAAATGCACATAAAATATTAACATGGATGATCAACAACTCTTTATATAGTAATTTCATATTACTTGCACTTGCCAATACATTACTTTATTATTACGTTTTTAGAAATTTTGATTTGAATATTTGAAAATTTTGAGTATTGACATCTAATTCTTAACAAAGCAAACTCTTCAACAGAAAAGAAGTAAAGACAACACAATTCTCTAGGGTAAGAGCATCGACTATTGGATTCAAACCAACATGTGTCTGGTCCAGATCCTAGCCTCTAATTACCATGTGTGCTTGGCTGTAGAGGATGAGCCCATTGGAGTTCACCCTACAAAACAAATTTAATAGTTAAACTTATCCCTAGAAAATTTGAGCTAATACTGGCCCAAACCAAGTCATATTTCCCCCCGAAGTAGGACTAGGATCAATTCTAAACTCATTTTGAGGTGTCACCAAACACAGCCTTACAAAGATCAAAGTTGTGTTTAGATTGAACCATGCTAAATGCATAATACTTTTATCTAGGCATTAATCTTCAAGATTTTAATGCATTATAACTAATCTACTCCTCTATACAAATGAGAGAACCCATGATTCACCATTCATGTTACAGTAAATGTTACAATAACATTTGTTGTTGTGTTATTACGGACTATAGCAAACAGAAAAATAGACAACGTAGCATTTTTTGAAAAATATTACACGGGAACACTGTATCGTTTTTTAAAAATGAAGCAGAGGTGGTTACTGTAGCAGTTCAAAAATTTTCAAAATATTGTTGTAGCATTTATATATCGGGATAACTATAACAAGAAAAAAATGATAAATCATATTATGAGTTCTTAAACTCAAGAGGTATCAAATATGCTTTTTCCAAAATAGCATGGAATCCAATTCTTCCCAGCAAAATTCAGATTTTCATTTGGCTTTTATCTCTGAATCGCCTACAAACAAAAGATAATCTCATGAAGAAAGGGTGGCAAGGCGATCCTAAATGTGTTCTATGTGATGTGCACATCGAATCTAAAAATCATCTCTTCTTCTCATGTAAAACATCAATGGAAGTCTGGCAACATTTTAGAAAATATTTCTTACCTTTTAATTGGCCAACCTCTCTGGATGATATGTTGTTATCTGTTGCATCTCTACAAAAGCTTGATGGTCTCACATGGCGCACCATCTTATCTGTAGTCTGTTGGGTTATATGGACTTCAAGGAACAAATTTATCTTCGAGCAGAAAACTTTTTCAGCTGAATCTATTATTAACACTTCTATTCTTGCTTTGTATGAATGGACAGAATCGGGAAGAAGGAAGGAAGCTTATCAGTTGGCAAAAGTGTTCAAAGCAAAACCAATCCCTCGCAGCAGCAGCTAAGAAATCTGGATTTGTCTAAGTGTGATGTACATATATACTTTTGTCAGTGTTATCTTGTCTTCTATTTGATTTATAGAAAATTTAATTTCTCTTTTGCTACATGTATGGCCGGCTTTGGTTCTCCTTTATATCTATGTCAACGATGAATGACGGCAAGGCCCTCTCTTCATCTTCATGGATGTTTAGGAGAAGAAGGTTATACATCAATGGTTAAGAGAAATTAAGTTTTCTATCTATCAACTGACGGATACATTTCGTATCCAACTTTTGTAAGACACTTATATTTTTATTAAATGAACAGGGTCCATCCCTTGTTTTTCCATCAAAAAAAAACAAGAAAAAAAATGATATGCCATACTTTGTATGGTGTTCACGACTAGTATTAAAAATAGTAAAATAAATACTACTCTTAATCCCAAGAAAGACGTTACCCACCGAGCAGCTTCCAGTCAAATCATGGATGGTGAGTACCAAGTCTTAAAGCCTCTTATCTACAGAAACTCTCCGATCATTTCACACATCCATTTTGCCAGCCACAGTAAATATATATAAAGAAACAAAAAAAAATAAAAAACATTCAAATCAAACTAAATAGTAGGTTTAGTTCCAAAACCGGAGCGCGCTGATCAGGCCCAACAAAGGCCCATCATACATACTTTCCCGGTCTCGCTTTCATTATTCTCTCCCGCCCAAAATATTAAACCCAGAACCTTCTCGAAGCGAAACGAAGCGCCAGAGCCGTCGATACCCCCAAAATAAACCCAAGTAAAGCGTCAGAACCCTCTAGAGATCCCTCGATCCCACGAAGCTCCTGGACACTCTCAAAGCCCCCCTATAAATATCTCTCTCCCCTCTTTCTCGCGTTTCAGCAGATCGCAGAAAAACATTGAAAGCCCTAATCTCAAGTTCTCAAAATCTCAAAGCTTCGATTCGATCCTTCGATCTCGATCGATCAATGGCGGACGTTCAGATGCAGGAGGCCGAGACCTTCGCTTTCCAAGCGGAGATCAACCAGCTTCTCAGCTTGATCATCAACACTTTCTACTCGAACAAGGAGATCTTTCTTCGAGAGCTCATCAGCAATTCCTCGGATGTAAGTTTTGGTCTATTTTTGGGATTATTTAGGGTTTTTGTTGATTGAGGAGTTCTTAATCTGATGTTTTTGTTTGATTTTTGTGGTTGTTTTCGCGAAGGCGTTGGATAAGATTCGATACGAGAGCTTGACGGATAAGAGCAAGCTCGATGCTCAGCCGGAGCTGTTCATCAGGTTGGTGCCGGATAAGGCGAGCAAGACGCTGTCGATTATTGATAGTGGAGTTGGGATGACGAAGGCTGGTGAGTGATTCCTTGCCTCGTGAAATTTATTTACTAAATTATTAGAGTATTGATGTTAAATTATTGATGATTTGTTGTTTATCTTGACTATTGGCTGTGTTACTGAGGGAAGTGTTTTGAGCATTGTGAGATAATATGCAACTGCGTGCTGATTGAAAGTGGAAAATCTTTCCGTAATCGTAGAAATGATTATAATTAGAAATGATTATAATTAAAGAGGAAGTATATTGAAAATTAGCTGTGTATTAAGCTGGATTGTAGAACAAATGCTGCTAACTGTAAATGTCTGAGAAAATTATGCATCACAAATTTTAAAATCGTATCTTATGGCACATGGTTTCCTGACTATTAAATTTTTAAATAATATGCCAATGAAAATATATCTTGAATAGGATGATATATCAATAAAAATAGGCTATTCTGCGAAGAATATTAATTTTTTAAATAATTTGCCAATGAGTTTTGTAGATCTTAATTTGGAATTACAAGAATGGATAGAACAAATCGTAATATGAAGGAATTACTTTGAATTGTTAATATATCTTGAATAGGATGATGAAGATATTAAGCTTAACCGATAGAAGATGATTCATACAGAGATATATGTTCATTGCAGCTTGGTTTACTAAATTATAGACAATCGCTTGTTTTACACTTTGTATGTGAACACAAAATTGGTGATAATTGGTTTTCAAGCTAGTTAGCCCTTGAATGAGAAGTTGTGAAATCAGTTGATTTCTTGATTGACAAATAATCCTGTTTAGACATGTTTACTAATCAGCCAATTTGCTGCATTGTGTCCTATGTTTTCTAGTTTTTTTGTTAGATTGTTGAATATTATCTTGGTTCATAGCGTCCAGGTCATGAAAAAAGTGCAGTACCCGATGTGTAGCTAGCTTGAAGAGCATATTATATTACTCTGGAAACATATTAATTGTTTGAAATGCTCAACACAATAGTTGAGATAGCGTATAATGTTTGGTATCCTCTGTATTTTGGTTGAGTAAAAGTTGCTGAGAATAATGGGTATTATCCTCTTGTAGTTCTTGAAGAACCAGATGAATTCGGTCTGCATTTGCACTTTTCTGGTTCCTCCTTCTCACCTTGTCTTTTTTATCAGATTTGGTGAACAACCTGGGAACAATCGCGAGGTCTGGAACCAAGGAGTTCATGGAAGCATTACAAGCTGGGGCTGATGTGAGCATGATTGGGCAGTTTGGTGTTGGATTCTACTCGGCATATCTTGTGGCTGAGAAAGTAGTTGTTACAACCAAGCACAATGACGACGAGCAATATGTTTGGGAGTCCCAAGCTGGTGGCTCCTTCACTGTTACCAGGGATACAACTGGTGAGCAGCTTGGTAGAGGAACAAAGATTACCCTGTACCTTAAAGAGGATCAGGTGCTTGCTCTACTCAAAAGTTCCTCTAGAATTTTTGATCTCGTAGTGTAGTATGATTTCTTACACCATTTGAACTTGTTGCAGTTGGAGTACTTGGAAGAGAGAAGGCTGAAGGATTTGGTGAAGAAGCACTCTGAGTTCATCAGCTACCCCATCTACCTCTGGACTGAGAAGACAACCGAGAAGGAGATAAGCGATGATGAAGATGAGGAAACCAAGAAAGAGGAGGAAGGGGATGTGGAGGAGGTAGACGAGGAGGAGAAAAAATCCAAGAAGAAGAAGGTGAAGGAGGTCTCTCATGAATGGACTCTAATCAACAAGCAGAAGCCTATCTGGTTGAGGAAGCCGGAGGAGGTTACTAAAGAGGAGTATGCTTCTTTCTACAAGAGCCTCACCAACGACTGGGAGGACCACCTTGCTGTCAAGCATTTCTCTGTTGAGGGTCAGCTCGAGTTCAAGGCAGTCCTATTTGTCCCTAGGAGGGCCCCATTTGATCTCTTCGACACCAGGAAGAAGATGAACAACATCAAGCTCTATGTCCGAAGAGTGTTCATCATGGACAACTGTGAGGAGCTAATTCCAGAGTACCTAGGGTTTGTCAAAGGTGTTGTGGACTCTGATGATCTCCCTCTCAACATCTCCAGAGAAACGCTCCAGCAAAACAAGATCCTGAAGGTGATTAGGAAGAACTTGGTGAAGAAGTGCATCGAGATGTTCAGCGAGATTGCTGAGAACAAAGAGGATTACGACAAGTTCTACGAGGCCTTCTCAAAGAATCTGAAGCTGGGCATCCATGAGGACAGTCAGAACAGGGCCAAGCTAGCTGATCTTCTGAGGTACCACTCGACCAAGAGCGGAGATGAGATGACCAGCTTGAAGGATTACGTGACCAGAATGAAGGAGGGCCAGAAGGATATCTACTACATCACCGGAGAAAGCAAGAAGGCTGTTGAGAACTCCCCCTTCTTGGAGAAGCTCAAAAAGAAGGGGTATGAAGTGCTTTTCATGGTGGATGCAATCGATGAGTACGCTGTCGGACAGCTGAAGGAGTACGATGGCAAGAAGCTTGTTTCCGCAACGAAGGAAGGTCTGAAGCTCGAGGACACCGAAGAAGAGAAGAAGAAGAAAGAGGAGAAAAAGGCTGCCTTCGAGAGCCTATGCAAGACGATGAAGGAAATTTTGGGTGACAAGGTCGAGAAGGTGGTGGTCTCCGATAGGATTGTGGACTCCCCTTGCTGTTTGGTGACGGGTGAGTATGGGTGGACCGCGAACATGGAGAGGATCATGAAGGCTCAGGCCCTGAGGGACAGCAGCATGAGCTCTTACATGTCGAGCAAGAAGACCATGGAGATTAACCCGGAGAACGGTATCATGGAGGAGCTCAGAAAGAGGGCTGAGGCAGATAAAAACGACAAATCGGTGAAGGATCTTGTGCTGCTGCTGTACGAGACCGCCCTGCTGACATCTGGGTTCAGCTTGGACGATCCTAACACCTTTGCCGGGAGGATCCACAGGATGTTGAAGCTCGGGCTGAGCATCGACGAGGATGAGGGAGCTGGTGATGATACAGAAATGCCCGCTTTGGAAGAGGATGCAGCAAATGAAGAGAGCAAGATGGAGGAAGTTGATTAAGGTGTCAGGTGACTTGCTTTGTTGGAAGGGTGCGCTAGTCTCTTGTAGTTTGTCTTGGTGCGTCTAGTCAGTCGTGGGTCATTCTGCAGCGTCCTCTGTTATGTCTGTGTGTGAATAGGGATGTGGTGTGGGGTTATAGAGTTTTTGGCTTTGCTTTTTTTAGTCTTCTGTTTCGTTGAAAGATAAGCAACAATCTTTGTGTTCTCATATGGTGTTGGTATGTTTCCTAGAGTAGTTTTATATGCTCTTAAACGTCCAATATATTTTTATTGAATGCATATATTGTTTGAATATTTTTTTGTATAATTGTTATATTAGATTTAAAAAGTAAGCATTTTATTATAACTTCTAATTTTGATATCATCATTGAAAAAGAAAATATAATGCTTAAAAAAAACAATGTTATTTTAAGTTTGAAAAATAAAAAATTGAGCTTATCTATTGCGATTTTATCTCATGAAAAAGATAATGCCTTGTGCTTATTTTATGAAAAAGATAATGTCTTGTTAGAAGTAGAAACTAGTAAAAATAATTTAAGTTTATTTATAAATAAATATATTTGCTCTACTTCTATTGACAATGTTTCTATGCCTAAAGTTGAGTTGAACAATATTAAAAATCGCATTTCATCTTTAGATTCACCTCTAAAAACATACATTGTTAAAAATGATAAGTTTATGGACAAGTGTGTTAAATCTAATGCTACAATTTCTAAATCATCTACACACTAGGGGTGAGCAAACGGTCAGTTCGGTCGGTTTTTATCAAATTTTGAACAACTGAAATCGAACCGCCCATTATTCAAAATCGAATCAAACTGTTGCAAGTCGGTTCGGTGCGGTTCGGTTCGGTTTGTTCGGTTCCAACTTCATCCAACAAACAAATGCATTCAAAATTTGAGCGTCCATTCTTGATATATTCGACAATATTAAATTTAAAATGCTTGAGAAAATAGGTACATGTTTTAAGAGTCCAGCCCCGAAAGCTCTTGTGACCTTCAACGAGCCTTTCACCCGTTCACAATCGCCGAAATGTCATCAGGATGCTCGCTCCTAATCCTAACAACCTCCTGCAATCAAAACACACACAAAAACACACATCAAAATCATGATCGATCAAATCAAATAACGTTTAAAATTCAGCGAAATGAACAATTCAAAAACTAGCCCTTCACCTCTTTAACACAGGTATTGCGATCCAGTGTAAGCTGCAGAGTGACCAGATCGAGCAATTCATCATCCACCTCCTCGTTGATGCTCCTCAAGTCCCTCCTCCCCTTCATCCCCAAAATCGCCCAGCTGCCGCCGACGTTCATCAGGTAAACATCCTGCCCTTTCATCACCGTCACCAAAACACAAGAACCCATCAAAGAGAGCTTCGGATTCTCGGCGACCATCATGTCAGCGCAACCCAAGAAGGTCTTTTCGGTCCTCATCAGCACCCGTGACAGAGCCTTGAGCACCTCACCGTGGGTTTCCTCGTCAAGATCCAGTATTTCGAGCTCCTTCTGTTCTGGACCTCAGGGTAGAGGTTTGTGAGCAAGTCTATTGTTGGATGACTGAAGAAATTTGAGACGGAGGAGTTGTAGTGGATCTTGGTCTCGAACGTGGCAGTGCAGGGCTCGTCAATGCGGAGGCTGAACTGGCCGGCGTCGTCATCGGGAGCTTGGAGGACTGAGCGTGGAGGACTTGGGACGGAGCAATGACAGCTGGAGAGTGAGATTAGAGATTTAGGTTTAGGATTGTGAGGGGTTAGGATTTTATAGAAATGAAGAATGGGTTGGATAAATGAAGAATGGGTATAACCGCATGGGTTAAATAATAGTAAGGGATATAAGCGGTCGGTTCGGGCGGTTCGGGTTGAAAATTTTTTAACCCAACCCAAATCGAATTATAACTAAAACCGAACCGAACCGTTAAACGTGGGTCGGTTCGGTCGGTTTTTTTGCTTTGGACCGAACCATGCTCAGCCCTACTACATACTATGCATACTTGTATAGCAAAGTTTACAAGTGCTCTATTTGCGGTCGAAAATACCACCTTGCTAAATTTTGCTATGATGCACACAAACCTAAGAATGCTAATGCTCCTTGTGCATCTCATGTAGCTTCATCATCATATACACATACATTCACATGCTCATTCTCACGAAGTTCATCATAAGTATGTTAACGTGTATCAATGTGATTTTTGTGGTAGATTTGGTCATTTGGTCAATTTTTGTTTTGATGTGAGAAGAGTTTCTCGTTTGCAAAATAATTTTAAAGAACAACCTATTTTTTACAAATGAGTCTCGTGCACAATCGTTTGGTCAATACAAATTATTTAACCCTTTATTGCACCTATTCCAATAAGAAATATCAATTTATACAATTTATGTTTTGACCGTGTTAGTGCACCACATACGTCCAAACGGGTTCATAACCCTAAGACTTTGAGCTTAAACGATAGGGGTCATGTTCCTAGACTCTTAGGTATCAAGAGTAATTGGGTATCAAAACTTGTTTAATCTTTAAAAACAAATTTTTTTATGTTTTTAGTTTTTTTTCATGTTCTTAAAGGTGATTTTAATTTTTAGATTTTATTGAAAACTACTTTTAAAATCTTTAAAAGAAAGTATTTGTTTTGATTTGTATTTTTGAATTCATTTTAATTCACTTATATGATGATATTTATGTGTTTGTGCTTATGGATCATCTATTTATGCTTTATAATATATTCTTTATGTGATTTGGTCAATTTTTTTCAAAGAAAAGTTCCTTTATTGATCAAACATCATTCTTAGATATATATATATATACTTTGTTTTGATTTTGATGAGAGGTTTGTGTTTATATAACTCCTCGGGTTTATTGTGTTTATTCCCAAATCTTATTTACCGGACACTAAAAATATTTATATGGGTTAAAACAAGCTCAAGAGCTTGATATGATTGCCTCGCTTGCCTTTTCTTTGTCAAAAAATAATATCAATGTATCTTTATGGATTTAAATCTTGATTTATGATTTCATTTGAATGATTTATTTTCATTTGAAAACTTTTTTTCATGATTCTCATGTTTTTCTTTCATTTGTTTTCATAAATCTATTTTTGCATGGTTTTTATGTGTGTGCATTGAGACACATTCTTTTTAAATGACATATCTTTATGTGTTCTCATTGTCCTTTTGTATGTGAGTTGTGTTTAGCATGCTTTCATCTATACTTGCTCACATATATTTGTCTTGGTCATCATTGCATATATTCCATAAGGTATTTTGATAAGGGTAGTCATTCTCTATATTTGTTTTATACTCACCCATGCTTATTTGTAAGGGGAGCCTTCGCTCTCTTATCATTTCTCTTTTTTGTTATTGTCAAAGGGGGAGAAATATTAGGAGTATATATTTCCTTATTTATATGTATGATAATTATAATTTATATATTTATTTCTTTTCATGCATATATTTTTTTTGTAAATTGTTTGTCATCATCAAAAATGGGGAGATTGTTGGCCTTTTTGTTTTGATGATGTTTAACAAATAATTTATTACTAATATTATTTGTTTACTATTTATGTTTTCTTATATTATAGACAAGCAATATGTTGGAGGATGGATGGAATCAAGCATTCACGATCATATCCAATGGAGGTTGGCGGAATAGTGGAGTGAAACAATGCAATTCAAGTTAAAGATTCAAGTTTAAGCTTCATCCGTAAGTTTACCAAGTCGTGCTTATTGAAGACCTTCATCAAGCTTGGGTATATTTAGCATATGTTTATATTATGTGTGTTTAGTACTTTAAGCTCAATATAATATACACACATATTTTATTGGTTTCTATGTATATATATATATACACACACACACACACACACACATTTTAGTTTTTGGTTTCTAGGTATGTATATAGTTATATATATACATACATGTTTTGGTTTTCAAGTTTATATAAATATGAAATTACATATTTCAATATATATACATACATGTTTTGGTTTTCAAGTTTATATAAATATGAAATTACATATTTCATATTTATTGTTTTGATTTGGTTTATTGGTTTTCAAGTTTATATAAATATGAAATTACATATTTCATATTTATTGTTTTGATTTGGTTTAGCTTTGTAGATATAAAACAAATATATATTCATATACACATTCATATGTTTTATATTCTATTATATTAAAAAAAAATTGTGTTTTTGGGTTATAGACTTTAGAACAATAGGTTATACCTTTTATTAAGTCTATGAATCCATACAAGAGTTTTTAAAACATGGTTTAGTCAAAATGACAAAACAAGTGTTGTTGTATTTTCATGTTTTGGACTAGTTATGAAAAATAATGAGTTTTCACAAATGAGAAGTGCAATTCTAAATTTTTTTTTGTAACATGTACATTAACATGTTTATAAATAATTTTCAAAGTTTTATATTTTTTGAAATTTATTTGCTATTTTCAAAGACACTTTAAAAATCAGTTTTACTATTTAAAACAGGCTGATAAAGTGTTATTAGTCGACTGATACATATGTTCAGTCGACTAAATAAAACACCTGGAATAGTCAATAGTTTCTGTTTTTATGTTGGTCGACTGACCAGTCGACTGATGAGATCATCAGTCGACTGATGAGATCATCAGTCGACTGATGAGCTAAAAAATACCTACAACTGTCAGCTTAACAGTCGACTGATGAAACCCGTCAATCGACTGATGCTATAACGGTTAGTTTTTTTTAGCCTTGTCCTGTTTTGGTTTTTTAGTCTTTTTGCCTTGTTTTCTCTTGCCTTTGGGATTCCTATAAATACCCTCACATATCCTCAGTTTTATCAACAAGAAGAAAGTTTTTAAACAAGTTTTAAGAGAGTTTAAGTGTTTGTTTAAGTTTGTTTCAAGAGTTTAGTTTGTGAAGAAAATTTCACAAGAAGAAGAGGAGATCACCATTTGTGTTTGAGCTTCAACTCTTCTCTCTCTCCCTTTTATTATCTATAGAGAAGTTTTTCTAAACTCTATTTCTAGCTATTTATTGTTTTGTTCATAATTTCTATAAGCTATAATAATTATTTGAGTTTAGTTTGTTTTGATTATACTCTTTGTTCACACACAACCTATTGAGCTTATTGTATTTTCATACATAGTATAATTTGGATTGTGGGGGATTGTGTGACTTAGAGAGTGAGCTTACAATTCGTTCTCATGCATTATAGAGAACAAATTTGTTGTATTTGTACTTATTTGTGAGATCACTTTGTAATATACTTGTGCACCGAGAGTCTGAGAGGATTGTGTGGTGGGAGATAGGGTCGTCCCAAGAGGAGTGTGGTAGGTGGTAATGCCTAGAGGTAGGTTATAATTCCTAACACTTAAGGGAGCCACGAGCTAGAGACCAATACTTAGAGGGTGTAGAGTGTGATTGTAAGAGTGTGAGATTGTAAAGTTTTCGGTGAACTAGAAAACCGTGTGTGAGGTGTAAACGTTTTTCGGGTGAGCATAAAAAACTCGGTTGTGATAGTGGATTTCTCCCTGAGAGTGGGGAGCGGAGACGTAGAACGGAAGGTCCGAACTCCGTGATCATTTCTTGTGTGTTTGAGTTTGGCTTGTGCACTTATATTTTGTTTATCTCTATCGTTATTCTTTTTTGTCTAATTCATCCACTATATTATTTGTATTTGTTTATCTTATTTCACCCTTGTTTATATTGTTTATCCTTACATATAATTATTGTATATTATTCTTTCTAGGATATATTTATTTAGAAGTTTTTAATTTGGTATTTAAATCGGATTAGCTTAGCATAAACCCTATTCACCTCCCTCTAAGTTTTTAGTTTGGCATTTCAATCACTACGTTAAAACTTTTTTTAAAATTGTAAATTAGTCCCTCAAATTTTAAATATTTTTATGTGATGGTTGATATATGTTTACTTCTCAATTTATGTTGGAAATAAATTTATGCTATAAGGGTGGTAAGCACACCATGGTGACCATAGTCATACTTTCTTCTTTTTTTTTCATTTGAACCAAACACTAGAAAGTGAGAGAATCTATTTACACATCATTAGTTTTTTCCTTTTTTCAAATTGAACAAAACTAAGAAAAATGGTGGAAAGTACTTTCAGCTCATATTTTTGGCGAAACAAACACAAGAAATACTTTCCATGAAAGTAAGGAAACACAAAAAAAATGAAGAAAAATGAGTTTTGGAAAATGAAGGAAGCGAACCAATCAGGCCCTGATACAAAATCTGACACAGAAGCTCTTTGTCTCGAACAATATACTCTTTGTCTCGAAAATTATCTGATTAACTCTTTAAAAGCTCTCAATCAGTAACCGGGAAAAGTTCCATCATTTCTCCCTAATTATGAAGAAAATTGTTAATTTATTATTTGACAACATATGTCTTTCGCAACTATTCGCCCGCCTTAGTCCTTCGAGTGCTAGCTCTAAACATTTTTGAGTTCTTCCTGCTTTTCCAGTTGTAGAATTTACTTAGCATTTGCTATGGCCGACAAACTGCTACCTTTTCTAAAAAATTCCCCGGCTGTATAGCAATTGATGAAGAACTAATATTATGCTTTTAGCCGATAATTGTGACCACTTTCTTGAGAAAAATGATGCACGAGGATTATTAGTCCATCCAAAGTGCAATTATGGTAACATATGCATGCATTGAATTCAACTGTGCACTGCGCACTCATGATAGCGATCACCATCTCTTTTGTTGAAAAGCTTAGAAAACTTATTTCAATATTGGATTCCAATTACCCAAATGGCACTGTACTCCGGCTAACTTATCTGATCTTGTGCTGCAACTTGTAGGTGACAAGGGGACAAAGCCACAAAGGATCGAATTGTCACGCAGGAATGAGAGGGAGAAATTAACCTTGTAAAGGTGAGAGAAAATAAATGAGAGCCTGAAAATTTTCATGATAGATATATTTGAATTTCAGTGTCTGTTACATTACTCACTTTTCTATTTGCAGGATTTATACTTGTTACTGATGATTGTGCCTGACTAGTTGTGAAGCAGGAGGATTAAGTTCGCTCCAGGACTTGATTGACAACTGTAAGTAAGAAGTTTTCAAAGGAAAAAAATTGTTACTTGTACATGTTTTTTTATTTAGCTCTCTATATATATATCCAAAAGAGAAACGATTAGAATCTTTTATATGGCATTGATTCGAAATGTATCAGATTTTCTTGTTTCTAGATCTAAAGTGCACCGATGAGGTGCAAGCGGGTAAGGGAAATATTATTCAACTAAAATTAGACAAAAAAAAAAGAATGAAAAAAAAGTTAAAGGGAGTACAATGCTGTAACGTGTTTAATCTTGTGGCCATATATATGGTCTTTATTGTAGATTTAATTTTCGTTTCATGAGAATGATGCACGGTATATACAATGGATAGCTCCACCTTGTTATCTTTATATACGTAATGTAGCTTTAAATAAATTAACATCTCATTCACACGCATGATTCATGCCTTTATGACACTGCACAAACCCTCGCTTCAAAGGAAGGAAACAAAAGGAGAAAAAAAGGGGGGCAACAACAAACCAATAAATAATCGATCCACACTAGTCCTTATTTGAGAGAGAGGTAAAGGAAGAGAGAGAGAGAGAGAGAGAGAGAGAGAGAGAGAGAGAGAGACTTGTCAACCTCTAGTAGATTAAGAGTGCTCATTGAGAAGAAGGGAATGAACCAGCAGCCATGCGCTCTATATTCGATGAAGTTGTGCTTGAAAGATCATGATCACCAACTAGCTCCCCTTGAATTTGCTCCCATATGAGAAGGCTAGGATAATTTTGAGTCTCCACCCACCCACTCACATCTTGCTTCTCAAAGCATTCTCTATTAATTGGATCTCCATCTTCTCCTATTTGCACCATACCCGCCATCCCATCCACCAAAGGTGGCAAATAGTTCGAATCCATACTACTAGTATTATATGCAAAAAACGAATTATGCACTGCTTGGTCTTGATGCTGAATATTAGGGTTCCAAACCTCGGAGCTCAGCCCGATATTACCTCCATTATTATGATCACCAATGCTAGTATCAAACATGAAGAGGGGGCAATGATATGGAAAGATTGCATCCTGATGTGAAGTAGCACTTGCTGGCGGCATGTTTTGGCTTGTGAAAGCATCAAATTGGTTGTTTGAGTTATAACTAGGGTTAATGAGTTCAGCACTAGGGGGACTTGTCGATGAAGGGGTTGTAGGCTTTCGGATCTTCTTCTTGATCCATGAGTTCCAGTAGTTCTTGATCTCGTTATCTGTTCTCCCGGGCAAGTGGCTTGCTATATGAGCCCATCTACAAAATTATAATGCATGTTATAACGAGAAAACTTTGGAATTAAGCATTATAGAGACTTCTTTTCCATATGAAAACGAAAGCTCATGGTCTCAAGCTTGTTACCGTATCGTTATCGTTGATATTCTTCGCAAAGCTTGTTAGTACATCATTATCATGAACATGTATATATGTCACTGTTTGTTGTTTAGTCAGGTACTACAACTGTTTCTACTTATATTAACAGTATATTAGCATGTAGAATATTACATGTCGATGCGTACTTCGCAAAAAAGCAAGTGCATATACTTAGAAGACATATCCTCGTTGATAACTTCATGACAACATTCGCAATACCATTATATGTTAGATTTAAGAAATTAACAACTGTAAATTAATGCATTGTATCATGAAATAATATGCATGCTCATAAATATCAAACCTGTTTCCAACCATAGCATGAAGGCTGATGATTAGTTTCTCCTCCTCTTGTGTGAATCTTCCCCGTCGAATGTCGGGCCTAAGATAATTAATCCACCTTAAACGACAACTCTTGCCGCATCTTTGGAGTCCTGTGTGGCAAAACAACAAGGTGGAGCATTGTTAAATTCAAGCTCTCTCTTTCGATTGCATGTGATGACGTACCTTTTATTTGTTTGTTTGTTGGAACTAGTTAATTTCTGGTGAGGGTCCTACTTTGTTTCACACATGTTTATTATTATTATTTTAATGCATTCTTAATAGTGCTCATTTTTAAGAGTACTGTATAACAAAGTAAGATCGTCTAGTATTGGATTAACACAAATTAAACAGAGAAAATTGGCAGTTAATTAGTACACTACACTGAAATACTTAATTGGGAGGGGCAAACTAGCTAGGGATATACCAAAATGAGTCTTGGGATTATTAGGATGCCATCATTATTATCTAAGAAGCAAAAAAGAAAGACTAGATTGCAAAGGCCTGCATCATGCTGAAATGCCACGGAAAGGACTCATTCATTAATTATTAGTTTTAGAACAAGGAACATATAAAATGAAATGACATGAAAATGAGACTCTAATATTCTCAGAATCTCCATACGGGTGCATGATCAGTAGGATGCCTCCATTATTGAACTAGAGAAGATTAATGTAAAGCACATGTTAGAAGAATTATGTAAGGTCTCAATATATATACCAGCTTTCTCAGGGACTTCACTCCAACATCCGTAGCCATGGGTGCTGATATATCGGATGAGCTTCTCGTCCTCCTCCGGCGACCATAGTCCCCTCTTCACCTTCTGTTGGTTGCAGCAAGAATGATGCCCCATTAGAGTTTTCCTTTCTTATTTCTTTCTTCCTTCTTCTTTCTCCCTCTCGTTTAGTTAGTTTATTTGTTGGAGAGCAGCAGCACTCTCCTTTTTATTTGAGGAGCTTCGCTATTGCTAAGGGTACTACATATATTCTTTCTACTATTCAATCACAATCAAACAAGTCACTATCTCCGACAAATACACTGGATACGGGCCCAGTCATTTCTTTATATCTAACCCTACTCTTTCTCTCTCAATTTGTTGATGCTCTAGTCTTTACATACTGCGACGTAGATGACGTTTGGGGGGGAATATTTGTTACCATTTCCACGTACTTTGAACCTTTGTGGTGTTTGATGACTTGCATTGCACTCGGACCCAACTATACCTTTTGGTCATGATCGCCTGTGGTTCCTCACCTAAGCTACAGCAGAATGGCAAAGCACTTGAGGTGCATGTGCCAATTAAGGAGATCTTGGAAGTTGTATCGATCTTTGGCGGACCATGTCATCAACTCAGCAGAAAACCTAACTACGATGAAAGAAATAACAAAAAAATAAAAATTTAAAATTAAATTAAAACTAAAATTAAAATAAAAAGTAATGGAGAAGCATATAAGGATTTCATAAGGTTGAACAATCAATGTGATTATCTACGTCCTATAATTATAACCAGTTCACGGTTCCACTAATACTAATAAAATTTAAAGAGGACAAATAACTTTAAATTTATTTCCCTATCTAGATACCCTCTTGCTATTGGAATGTTTTAAAAGTGTAGTCTTGTTAAGAACTTAAGATATTAATTTTTAGAAAATAATAGTTCTTCGATCATTTAAAGACTTCGATAATTGATCTCTCTTGCATGTTGCTTTACAACTGTACCCAGCTAAATCGTTGAACCTAATTAGCTTAAGAAATGTTTTCTCCACTGCGGTACCACAAGAACGTGCACTAATTCTAGCAGCCTAGTAATTTTCGAATTAATTATAAAGATATCATTTTCTGTCACAATTCAAACATGGGTCACAAGGGATTGCAGTAGTATGAGCACAACAATTTGTTCATTGTTAGCTTTGTGGAAATTGGCAAAATGCTAACGCAACAATATTATCATTGTGATGTGGGGGCCACCCACGTGAGCCTTTGTTTCTTTTGCGCGTGAAGAAATCGGATGCGGCTAAGTTCGATGCGGCCCACGAAATCATAATATTTCGCAGCTATCTATAATAGGATTTCCTAGGTTTCTGTGGGCAAAGGGTTTTTGTTTTGCGGCTACAGCAAAGAATTTGGGTGCAAGACTTTGGAAATTGACAGGACGGCGGGTGTAGAAGAAAACACAGACGTTGCTTTTGGAGGAGAAAAAACAGCCGCTATCCTGTGTTTGAGTAGCCCTTTATCAGGGTGTTGAGCATCCTTTTGTAGAGAGATATTGTGAGGGGTCTGAGAGTTTGTTTGAGGGTTTAGGTTGTGAGTGATTGTAAACCCTAGTTGTATTCTCTCCCTCTATTAGTAGATCTCCCCCCCTCCTTGCCCCGTGGACGTAAGCAATTTGCCGAACCACGTAAATTTGGTTGTATCGCTTTTGTGTGATTTGTAATAGTTTTTAGGATCCCTTGACAGGTCAGTCCTAGAACTGATGAGAGGAAGAGCCGATATCTCACTTTGTTGAGATATTCACTTCAAATTCTTATTTCTTTGGTGAGACGGGAATTCTTATTATGATCTGACTCTCTTGTTGTGCTGCCGAAGTGCTGCCGAAATTTTCGCTGCGCGCAACAAGTGGTATCAGAGTTCAGATTTTAGATCTAGGGTGTTTTGGATTAGGTAGAGGAAGATTCAGTTGGAAGCTTGGTTCTTGGAGTTCTAGGCTTCGGTGGAGATAGCATTAGGAGTTGTCGTTGGAGATTTCGTTTTCCTCGTGTGGATAGGAGATCTATTTGGAATCTGATCCATGGTTCAGTTGGGTGGTTCTTAATTTCTATCAAATTTGTTCTTTCTCTACAATTTGGAGTTAGTTCGCAATGGGAGAAGAAGGTGAAAGCAGCAAATCGATGGTGAGTACAATACAAGTTGGTTTTCAGAACACTAAGATTAGTGTGGTGAAGTATGACGACAAAATCAACTTTGGTTTGTGGATGAGCTACGTACAGGATGCGCTCAATGCTCAGAATTTAGAAGAGACCATTATGATCCACGAAAGACCACCTAAATATGAAGAGGCAGTATGAGAGAAGATGAATAGGAACGCTTGTGGGGTGATCAGGTCCTGTTTGGAACAAGAACTGAAATATGATGTGATTGGGGTGACGTCTGCAATGAAGATGTGAGAAATTCTTAACAATAAGTATCTCACAAAGAGTGTTGAGAACAGGTTACACTTGCTGCGAAAACTCTTCAGATTTTAGATGTCCAGAGGCACCTCACTAGCAGCGCATGTGAACAACTATACTAAGTTGTTGTTAGACTTGGCGAATGTTGATGAGAAGATATCGGATGAGTACAAGGCTATTATCTTATTGGGCTCCTTACCGGATGAGGAGTATGATACCTTCATGCTCACTTTGTTGAACGAGAGATCTTCTATCAGCTATAGTGAAGTGACTAACGCATTGACTAATTACGATTTGAGGAGGAAGGACAAGGAGACTTCCTGTGCTAACACTTCAAGCGAGGTCTTGTCGACGAGAGGTAGAAGCCCATATCCGAAAGGTAGTAATAGAGGAAGGTCAAAGTCAAGAAGCCACCACCAATTAGCAAAGAACCAATGTGCATTCTGCAAAGAGCAGGGATATTGGAAGAGAGACTGCCCGAAGCTCAAGGAGAAAGAGAATAGCAAAAAGAAGGGCCCGAAGGCCAGTGAGGTGAACGTTACGAAAGGCGATAATTCCGATGATTCGTGCTTTTCTCTACTGATTACTCCGGAGGTGAACCATGTAGATGCATTAGATTGGATGCTTGATTTCGACGCTACTTATTATGTGACCCCTAGGCGAGATTGGTTTGCATCGTTCGAGAGACTCGATGGGGGTGTTGTTGTCATGGGAAATGATCAATCCTGTGGTATTTGTGGGATAGGTACTATGCAGATTGGGATGCACGATGGAGTAGTCCGTGAGTTAAAGGAGGTGAGATTTGTTCCTCAACTAAAGAAAAATCTTATCTCAGTTAGAGCTTTGGAGGCGAAGGGATTCAAGATGACTTTCGAAAACGCTGTAGCGAAGGTTACTAAGGGATCATTAGTGGTGATGAAGGGAGTCCGCAATTAGAATTTGTATTATGTGAATGGAAGCACCGAGATTGGCCAGGTTGCTTCGGCTATTTCAGAAGCGGACATGAGCAGACTTTGGCACTATAAGTTGGGGCACACATGTGAAAAGTCACTACAGGTATTGTGCAAGCAGGGGTTATTGAAGGGAGCCAAGAGTGGGAAGATTGAGTTCTGTGAGCACTGTGTTCTTGGCAAGAAGACGAAGGTAAAATTCGGGACTACCATTCATCAGACGAGGGGCATCCTAGACTACGTGCACACAGATGTTTGGGGTCCCACCAAGACTACATCATTTGGTGGTAGACATTGATTCGTCACTTTTGTAGATGACTATTCTAGGCGTTGTTGGGTGTACACCATGACGAAAAATAGTAAAGTCCTAGATATATTCGTAGAGTGGAAGAAGAGATTAGAACTGCAGACTGGGAGAAAGATCAAGACGTTGCGATCCGACAACGGTGGTGAGTATACTTCTGACCCCTTTCAGCAGCTATGTCGAGACGAGGGCATAGAGAGACACTTCACAGTTAGTCATACACTGCAGCAGAATGGGGTGGCAAAGAGATTAAATCGGTCTTTACTGGAGAAGATCCGATGCTTATTGTCGCAGAGTGGTTTGGAGAAGATCTTTTGGGCTGAGGCACTTACATATGCGAGCCACCTCATTAATAGGCTGCCTTCATCTACGATTGAGGGGAAAACCCCTATGGAGATGTGGTCGGGAAAGCCAGCACATGACTATGACCAGCTCAAGGTATTCGGGTGCCCTGCATATTATCATGTTAGAACTGATAAATTGGAACCTCGAGCTAGGAAGACCATATTTATAGGATTTAAGCGTGGTGTCAAGGGATACAAGCTTTGGGATCCAGTTGATAAGAAGATTGTGCTGAGTAGGGACGTCACGTTTGATGAAGCTTCTATCTTGAAGCTTCCCAGCTCTTATCAGGTGGAGAGCGTCCCGACAGAGGAGATATCGCAGGTGGTGGAGATCGATACAGCTCCACATTGTCCAGATAGTACAGTATCCATGCAGGTACCGACTGAGGTGACGCCAGGCGAGCACGACGGTGACACGGAGGATACGAGTACAAATGTGCAGGATCAGGAACCGACGGCTCAGGTTCAGGACTCTATTGCGGTTCGGAGACAGAGGAGAAACATACAGATGTCAGCACAGTATGCCGACACAGTTGCGTATGCACTTCCGGTGGAGAGTATCGATGAGTTGGTACCTACTACATTCAGAGAGGCCGAGCAAAGTTCAGAGGCTGATTCGTGGCAGGTGGCTATGCAGGAGGAGATGGAATCTCTTCATAAGAATAATACATGGGAGCTTGTTAAGCTTCCAAAGGGGCGGAAGGCAATTGGTTGCAAGTGGGTATATACGAAGAAGGAGAGCATTGAGGACACTCCATTGAGATTCAAAGCTAGGTTGGTTGCAAATGGCTATGCACAGGAGAAAGGTATTGACTATAATGAGGTTTTCTCTCCGGTGGTGAAGCATTCTTCGATTCGGATTTTGCTAGCTTTGGTGGCACAGTATGGTTTGGAGTTAGATCAGTTGGATGTGAAGACGACATTTCTTCATGGTGATATTAATGAAGAAATATATATGACTCAACCATTGGGATTCCGAGCTGTAGGGAAGGATAAATTGGTTTGCAGATTGAAGAAATCGCTATACAGTTTGAAGCAGTCTCCTCGACAGTGGTATAGGCGATTCGATGGTTTTATAATTGGTCATTCGTACACTCGGAGCCAGTTTGATCCTTACGTATCTTTTCGCAAGTT